TCCCCATTTCATATGGACCATGTGATATCCTGCACGCAATATTGCATATGAAATAAATCAGCCTGTTATATACAATATGCTTTCTCCATATAATGTACCAACAAGTATCGCGGTCCATGGCGGTGGCTACGTCACACATTTTGTGGAATTAGCCGAAAGTCTATGGGGGAGTATATAGGGGGAGGGTTTTATAATTAGTCAATTATCTCAAAAATTACATCATAGAATTTTTTCGTGTTAAGACATTCCTATTCTACTTTTCGGTTTTACATCCGATTCTGATGTCAAAATTGAGGTAGTCATTTTATGCCGGAAGGTCGAAATGATGCAAAAATTTCCAGTAGTCTAGAAATCATTTCTAGATTACTGCAACTACTGCAATGCACCGCCTAGAAAAATAATGTACCAAAATAAATGTATTGATTGAGGTTAGCTGATAGAATGACCATGGTGTATTTCATATGTCTATCAAATTTAGCGATTTCCTCACTCAGGGATCCGTTGTTTTGCTTATAATTGTTGATTATATCCTCGATTCTGATCTTTAGATTAATTAGATTTTGTTAAATTGAATTCATGGTTGAAGTGATAGATAAGTAATATTAAAACTCTGTTATGATTATGCCTATTATTATTCAATATGTTTGCTATAAATACTGAAAATTACATTTAAAAATATATATTAAATTCATTAAGAAATTATTGATTTGTAATTAACTAAAAAATATTTTTAAGAAATATTTATTAAAACTCATTTTAATACCGTTTTTGTTATAATTGTGTGACTAATAAATCAATTCTTATGCAATAAATTATCTAGATGTATTGCAAATAATGAAAATGATAACTATAAATGCAATAAAGTTTTTAAAAGTGCACGGTAGGTTATTGATTTATACTTAGAGGAGCTTCGGCAGATAATATTTAGAATGCCAAAAGTTAAATAATAAAAATGTTGATAATGTTTTTATTTCAAAAATTAGTAAAATGTAAAATTATATCTACTTTATAGAATTGGCAGCATAAGCAAGAATTGGCAATAGCGATAGCATAGAAGTGTATTATTTTACTTCAAAGCATATCAAATGATATACAGTGCAACTTCTCTTGGGTGAACTTCTCTTGGATGAACACCTCCTTATAATGAACGGTTTTGAAATTTATATTGGATTTCCTATACTTATAATGTTAAAATAACCTCTCTTGGGTGAACTTCCCCATAATGAATACCTCCCCATTATGAACGGATTTATAGAGATTAAGATAAAACTTTCACTCCCAATAATGAACAAATATAATAATAAGCACATCATTCCTAAAAGTATTTAAAATAGTTTCTAATCTGAGACTTTAAGCAAACAAATAACACATTTTCATTCATAGTTTCATTCAATATTGCATTTTATAGTTTTATTTTATATCCAAGAGGCATCCGATGATCAAATGTTTGAACAATTGGACAAAATTAAGACTAAAGCATTTAATTATTATTTAAATACAGCTAAACAAACTAAAATTACTGCTTATTTTCAATATCTAAGATTTTAAGCAAACAAAACAAACATTTTTATATAAAGTTTCATTTAATATTGTAAGAAATGTGTATTCATTCTCTGATTAGTGAACTATAAATTATTACTTTATATCTGGAGACGCATCCAATGCTCAAACATTTAAACAATTGGACAAAATTAACATTAAAGCATATAATTATCACTTTATTACTATTAAATAAACTAAAATTACTTATTATTTAAAAAATTGTAATTATTAATAAACAATTTCAAATATTAATCAAAAATTAAACATTTTTACTCGAACCTCCCTTGGATGAACCCTCCCTATAATGAACACTTTTGCCGTGCAACTGGCCGTTCACTATAGAGAAGTTGCACTGTATCAATGAAAATATCTTGTCAAAGGAATCAATATTAGTCATATTTAAACAACGGTAAACTCGATTGAATTTAAACAAATTTTTTTTAAAAAAATACTAGCACATTTTATTTTCATTATTTATTTTTAAAAATGAAAATAAAATATTAATCGTTATCCTTTAACTTTTATTTTGAATTTACAATTATTAGAGTGAGTTACACGTTGTATGTTAATATAATTGCTACACAAATTGTGTCACACAATAATTAAACTTAAATATACAAAAAATTTACAAAAAAATGAATGTCTGAATTAAAACATTGTCGTAAATAATAGATAATTAGAAATACAGATCAAAATAAATTGCGAAAATTCATAGCTATCGATGGGAAACATATCAGAACAATAGAAAGCGATCGTCGGTTTAGACGACAATCTCTCGGCAAATGCCATCACTTTTAGCCGTTCGGTGAGTGATAGCGAGTGGGGGTTCCGTTGGCGCCGGTGTCGGCACAGGTATGACATTACGAGGGGATACTGTCTGTGGGCGGCCCTCGGGATCGATGAAAACCATATAAATACCATAAGTAAAAGACTCAAATCAAATAATATTACAAAAAACACTCCAAAACGTGTAATAAGTGCTGTGTTCTTGTGGTATAATAAATACACTGCGAGCTCAATACCATTGACTCCGATAACGTATATCCAAAATAAAGCCAAACGTAATGTTGTATTCAAACGGCTGACCCATAGCTCGTAGTAGTGGTGCTCATCGATCGCACCCAATATTAACGGCTTTTTATTGCGCAAAACGCCGACAGCGAGAGTGGCGTTGATTTCGTCAAACTTACACTTCAAGTAAGCGGTAGTGATGTATACGGCGTTGTATGCCATCCATACCAATGCGAAACACTCGAATGTTATGATCAATGCATTTACTAAACAAAAGCTTAGCCAAATAAATCTGATGATGGTCATTTGGCTTAGAAAGTCAAGTATCACTATCACTATAAAAGCTATGCTGCATGATACAATTAGTAGCCCGGATCCCCAGGTGGTCAATACTCTGATAGCACTGGCCGTAACACTAATTCTGGTCGTTTGAGATAAGCCTAATGGATATTTTAGCCAATTATATAATATATAGTAAACTAAGTTTGCAATATATAATTTATGAATACGATCGTGGTATAAAAATGCCCCCTCGACACAGATAACGCATAATTGAAACATGGTGCTTACAGTACAAAGTAGCAATTTATCACCAAGATACTTCATCAAATTTTCCCATAGATATTCAAGTAAGTAGATATTAGATACTACTATTAATGAACAGCACATAACGAATCGAACATAATATGTATATTATACTAGACATATGAGTCTAAGCCGGGAATAATGGCCAGTCATGTATTGATTGAGGTTAGCTGATAGAATGACCATGGTGTATTGGATATGTCTATCAAATTTAGCGATTTCCTCACTCAGGGATCCGTTGTTTTGCTTATAATTATTGATCATATCTTCGATTCTGATCTTCAGATTAATTAGTTTTTGTTTGATTGAAGTCATGATTGAATTGATAGATTAGAAATTGCTATTAAAACTCACTTTTAGTTTCAGATTGAGTTTAGATTCAGTTAATTATCAACTTTTAAAATAATAAACTATGAAAACTCATGAATAAATTCATTTATTTTATATCAAAAAAGTTATTGATTTATAATTATTTTCTAACCACAATTCAGTTTTTTATGATGCCACTAATTAATCAATATATTCTGTTTTATAATTTATTTATGTTATTGACTACAGTTATATCAGAATATATTATTGCCAACGAAATCGAGCATAATAAGTATTATAAAGTTTTTGAAAGTAAACTGTCACGATTAGTTATTGATTTATAATTAGCCAGAAACTATTTTATATTAAAAAATAATAAGTTATTAAAAAATATAAAATATTAAAAAATAGATAAAATTAAGTTATATGTTTTTCTGATTAACTTTAAAAATACATATGTATTGCAATATATTCTGCATATTATTAGTACATCTGTAGTACATTCTGTATATCATTCGTTTTGGTTATACAGTATTTTTATAACTATAATGTGATTCAATGATTTTGAAAATATTATGTTGAATTATATATGTTGAAATCAATTTAATGTACAGGGTGATTCTCAGAGTTATCCATGAACTTTTAATTGCTGTTAAAATATAATCAAAAACAATGGGCTAGATTCTAGCCGCTAGAATTTGTAAAATATTAAAACATGTTATGTTAAACCTATTATGAATGTTTTTTTTTAAAATTCAGCTTAAACATAAAAAGCATTACGCTTAAACCAATTAAAATTAAATTAGTACAAATTCCAATACGATCATTTAACTTTTTTTAGCAACAAAAACTTTATCCATAACCGTATGTATAGCATGAAAGTGAATGCATTGAATGGCAATACAATTGAATGATAACTCAATGCAAACACTTGTCACTGGAAACAGCAGAACGTAAGGCATATGTGTTTTGCTGTAAAGCCTTTCAATACATATACAGTAAGTGTATAAAAGAAACACTTTTAAAAATACAATTAATTAAAGTTAAATTTAATTTTAAAAAACAGTTATATTTTGTTTAAATGAATTGATGGGAACAGTGAATGTCAGTGCAATCATAAAGCAATGCCTGTGCAGCCAAGCGCACAGTGTCTGTGCTAAAACTACCTGTGCCATTAAATATTGATGCTCGACACGAGCCGTGCAGTGTTGCCCACCTTTAATGGCATGCATAGTGTGTACACATAGAGCCCCTGTACTGTTAAAGTCCATTACAGACAACTCTCGCTATTAAGAAAGTGATACAAAAACAAAAGTTTCGTGCATTTTCTGTGCATTTCATCGTGAAAAACATTAATATTTCTAATTTCTCATAGCAATAGCATTGCTATGGGATTCACACTGTGAATGAATGTCATAATAACTACATTATAAGCGAGTGTTAGTGACTATCAGTGAGAGTGAGTGTAAGTCTGGTATGCAATACATAGTACAGTACAGTACAGCCAACGCTACACCACATACAGGGTGTGAGTGAATGTGTCAGCGGTTTTGCAAACACACAGTAATACTGTTGTGTATGTATTGACAGTACAGTGAAGTGTACTGTATATACAGCACCAAAAAACACACATCAATCACATATAAAACACATATTCAACACATTTATCATTAATTATTGCATTAAAATAATGAGTGAAAACCAATTGAGAGTCAGATTTATATCAAATAACAGCAAAACATCGCATAATAAACGCAACGCTATGTTCAACACGAGTAATCACGTGACCACCGATGACAACACCACTACCACCACAGCTGACGATCACCACAACCATCGCCACCGACGACAACAGCGATCACACACTGGCCGTAGACAACAGCCAATGAGACCCAAGTATGACGAGGAGGAAGGGGTGGACGACGTGGATGTGACCGACGATCGCAATCACATCCCTGTCGACGGCAGCGATGATGACGACGACGAGGAGGAAGGCCTGGAGGGGGAGGAGGAGGAGGACAGGGATGCGCCCGAAAAGAGGTTCACAACCAATGATAGGCGCGATATCATTGAGCTGTTGTACTCGGAGGACGTGATCAAGTATTCAAAGGCCAACACAGCCGGTGCTGCCGCCGGTGTTGATCATCACCGCAACCATCAGTACCTTTCCTACAGCGATGACGAGTCCGCTGACGATGGCATCGGCGGTGACGACACCAGACGTCTGATGCATTCGTACGCCAACGATAAGAAGCCATTGCTGGACGGCTCGGGAACCGCTCTCAAGAAGTTTGCGCACAACAAACGCCAGACCCGCGGCTATAAGACAGATCTTCCGTACCATTCGTTTGACGCCGACGACGAAGAGGGCGCCATCACTGGTCACAAGACCTCCTCATCCGCTACCTCTCCCTATGACGAGACACTATTGTCGCTGTATTTTCAAGTGTTTGTGCCGTTTTTGATCGCCGGCTTCGGCACTGTCGGCGCCGGACTTGTCTTGGATTACGTCCAGGTATTGGCCGCCGTTTCAAAGCGGATCCCAATTGTCTTTGTGGCAGTTTTTTTGCTACAGTTTTTAAACTAAACATATGTTTTGTTTACTCATTCATATAGTGTTTGTTTTGTATTTGTTTTCCATTTGATCCCAATATCTCTATAGCATTGGGAAGTGTTTAGACAAGTGACCGAAGTGTTCATATTAGTGCCGGCGCTGTTGGGCCTCAAGGGTAACCTCGAGATGACACTGGCCTCCAGACTGTCCACTCAGGCCAACTTGGGTCGCATCGACTCCGGCCGCGAGCAATGGCTCATCGCGTCCGGCAATATAGCCCTCATTCAGGTATGGATTAGTATTTAATGATAATCTTGTGGACACTAATTGATCCGTGTATTTGCGTCATTAGTGTCAGGCAACTATTGTGGCCTTTTTGGCCGCCATATTCGCCATAACCATGGATTGGCTGCCCGAAGGCGAGTTCAACTTCTCGCACGCCATACTCCTGTGCGCGTCCAGTCTCTTGACGGCCAGTATCGCCAGTTTCCTACTCGGTATCAACGCTTTTACCACTTTGTGTTATCACTAATAGTCGTGTGTCTTATCAATCACTTTCATTCTCTGTCTGTCTCTTACTGTTTGTTTGTTTTGATAAACCTCTTGACCCACTGTTTATCGGATTAATTGATACATTGATTTCTTATAATGTATTTCTTTGTGCTATTATCTCGTGTTTATCCAAACAATTATTTTTAAGTAATTTATTAAATAATCTAATCATTTGTTTATTTGTATCCAATGTTTAGGTTTATTGATGATAGTAGTGGTGATTGTGTCCCATAAATGCCATATAAATCCCGGTATTTATCATAAAAACCATATGATTTGAATGTAAACACAAACTAAAGTCTGGGTTTTTTGTTCCGGTTTATACCACAATCACAACCATAACAACTATTAATGATGACCACCGATGATGGTCTACAGATAATGTGGCCACACCTATAGCTGCATCACTGGGCGATTTGACCACATTAGCCCTATTCGCACAATTCAGTGATATTTTGTATTATACCGTCGGTAATGACCAAAATATACAATTAATATAATGGGTATTGTTTTGGGGCTAAAGTCTTAATTTGATGTCTCATTTTTAGACACTAATCCATGGCTGAGTTGTATGGTATGTGTCGTATTCCTCCTATTAGTGCCCGTTTGGTGTTATATCGCCAAAAACAACAAATACACCCGAGAAGTGCTGTATAACGGCTGGACGCCAGTCATCAGCGCAATGGCCATATCCAGGTATGTGTGCTCTCCGGCCACCACCCGGTGCTCTGGTCTTTGAGTCCCATAGCGTCTATGTTTAACCCAATTATCTGTTCAAATGGTTAGCATCGGTGGCTGTATACTAGACTTTGCCGTTTCCCGGTTTAAAGGCATCGCTGTCTTCCAGCCGGTAATCAATGGTAATTATAACCCATTCTTCCGGTTCTGGAGGACCTGTTGTTGTGTTGTGTTTCTAATAATATGTGTATTTGTTTTTGTTTTGTGCCGATCGGTAGGTGTGGGCGGAAATCTGGTGG